ATCGCCCTGCTCTAATACAGACTTTGCTCCACCATGCAATCCCATGTTAAAGACATCTGGTTATGAAAATTTAAGCCATTCCCAATGATCCCAAACATACTGCCAATGCTTTAAAAGCATACTTGAATAGAAGAAAGTCACAATGGAAGACCATCAGTCATGGTTGACCTCCCAAGATCTCACCATAACTCAAAAGTGTGGGATCATATTGACAGGGAATGGAACACAAAGTAGCCGACAACCAAAGAACAGCTTTGGAACATGCACTGAAAGTCAAAAGGAACTATTCCTGAAGAAATCACAAAGAGGGAGTTTAGACGATGTTGAAGAATAATGGTCATCATACCAAATATTGACTTCCACCTTGTTAGACTTGTACAAATGCTGATTTTGCCTTATGTACAATATTTCTGTGTATGTTTGGACACATATACATGTTTCAGTAAATTGTTAAATCCTATTTTCCTAACAAAATATAAAGTGGTTTGAACACTCAAATAGAGTAGAAAAGCACTACATAGGAAACAGTCCATTTACCAAAATATAAAGAAATCAGTGCCAGCTCATTTTGTTTTGCACAGTAATGTAGCACACAGCATGTCTGTATGTGTGCATATGCATCTGTTATTCTTTTCTGCCCGGTAAAATTAGAAATGACTCGTGATGTGCAGATGATACAAACATACTTGGTTTGTCACCATCAGTGGCAGCTGTCCCCCAGGAAGACAGAGGTGTGTTTGGAAACATCTCCTTGCCCAGCCTCTCTGCTATCTTCCGAGCAGAGATGGTGTCCTTGAAGTTCTCCCTCCAGGCCAGGGTGGCGCACAGTAGGCACAAAGTCTTACCTGTGCCTGTGGGGCTCTCCAGAACACCATTGACTTTCTGAAATAACCAGACAGATAAAGCTAAACAGAAAAACCGCACATTGTGATGGTGACAATATTGCAGTATTAGAGACTTCCAGGTATTAGACTATGCTTCTATGAGCAAACACTTGGCAGTGTGGAGGAAGATCTCCCTTTTAATAGGAAGAAATCTCTAGCAGAACCAGGTTCAGTTATCAGGGCAGTTATCTGCACAGATCAGCTGAACGGTAAGACATACACCTCGCCATGGCACAAAGCAAACTATCAGAGCAAGTAGACAACCAGAATGTTCAGTGCAAAGATGGGACATCCCCCAGCAGCCTAATCTAAGGATGGTTCAGGGTCACCTGATCCAGTTCAAAGAGGATTGTTTGAAGCCCAATGTTAAAAGCAGGGAAGGCGTCTGGCTCCAGAACCCAAACTTAGAGGTAGTTCAATAATAGAAGAGCCTGGTAAATTTAGACTAAGAAGCACAAGTAAGCTTTCACTGTCAGAGCAAAATGCCCTGCTTGGGTAATATGTTATCATTCAAAAACATTCAAGATTGATTTTAAAATCAGTTCTCAACTTAACATGGGGGCTATTTCAGCTGTTTGTCAGCAGTCAAGAGCCAGAGTACACCCCAGACAGGTCACCAGAGTGCTATTTATTTTATTTATTTATTTATTCTTACATAGAAACTATACAGAAATTGTAAGGACAGACCCATGACATGAAGCCTCCTTTGTCATGTCTTTTTCCCCATCAAGTATTAAAACAGATCTGGACCATAAGCAAGTCAGTTTATCACCAATCTCTTTTACTATGGAGGCATGCTGAAAATCAGTGTCTGGTTTACGTGAAACAACACACTGAAACACATTATTGTGTGTGCTGCCTTTTGGTGCCACTGTTAAAAAGTCAGGTTCCTTTTTTGTCAGGGCTAGGTCACCCTCATACCTTTCTGATCTTTTAAACTGGTACATTCCTGCAAGATCACTGAAGTCTGCGGATCAATTGCTCCTGGCTGTCCCGAGGTCCAGATTAAAGCAAAGAGGAGATCGGGCCTTTGCTGTGACTGCTCCTAAACTGTGGAACGAACTGCCCCTTCACATCAGGACCTCCCCAACATTGGACACTTTTAAAACCCGTCTGAAAACACACTTTTATTCCTTGGCTTTTAAATCAGAATGAGTTTGTATTACTTTTATTTATCTTCTTTCTCACTCAAATCTTCTAATTTCATGATTCTCTTTCTTAACTCTTATCATATCTCCCTATGCTTTTATTTCTTTTAATTATCTTAATTGTACAACACCTTGGTCAACAGTTGTTGTTTTAAATGTGCTATATAAATAAATTTGACTTTTGACTTTAGGTCACGTGATCCTGAATCACGTGATTCTATTAATAACTTAGTTATGCTTCAATAGACTTAGGCTGCTGGAAGTTTCCCATAATGCACTGTGTTTCAGCATCTCTCACCCCTTTTGACTCACTGTGATGAGTGGTGTTAGGCACTCTGCTGTTAATTATGAATCATTATTAACCTCCGTCTCTCTTCCACAGCATGTCTTTATCCCGTCTTCCTTCTCTCACCCCAACCGGTCGCAGCAGATGGCCCCGCCCCTCCCTGAGCCTGGTTCTGCCGGAGGTTTCTTCCTGTTAAAAGGGAGTTTTTCCTTCCCACTGTCGCCAAAGTGCTTGCTGATAGGGGGTCATATGATTGTTGGGTTTTCTCTGTTGTATTACTGTAGGGTCTACCTTACGATATAAAGCACCTTGAGGTGACTGTTGTTGTGATTTAGTGCTGTATAAATAAAACTGAACTTGAATTAAAAACCAATATGATTGTACACTCATTTCTTCAACCAGCTGTAACTGTAGCAACACAATGGAAGAGGTTACAAAAATCCAGTGGTGCACATCACTGCAACACCAGCATTACATAGGAACGTATTCGATAAATCACACTTCATCCAGTATAGCACAGCGACATACTGCCAACATAATTTACCCCCATTTCACCAACGCTTTTTAACTCTCCGGGCAATCCATCCTGGTGATTTAGTGTGTCTTGAAAATAGAGTGTGGATTTTGAATGAAGCTAACAGTTTGAAAATAGAAGACACAGAAGATGAACAGTCATCTACATAAAATAATACAGAGAGTTTACTAACATTAGCTAATGGTAAATGGCCTGCATTTGTATAGCGCTTTTCTAGTCCCTAAGGACCCCAAAGCGCTTCAAACTACATTCAGTCATCCACCCATTAACACACTGGTGCTGGCAAGCTACATTGTAGCCGCAGCCACCCTGGGGCGCACTGACAGAGGCGAGGCTGCCGGACACTGGCGCCACCGGGCCCTCTGACCACCACCAGTAGGCAACGGGTGAAGTGTCTTGCCCAAGGACACAATGACCGAGACTGTCCGAGCCGGGGCTCGAACCGGCAACCTTCCAATTACAAGGTGAACTCCCAACTCTTGAGCCACGATCGCCTAATGATTATGTCCTGTTGTGGATGGCGCCCTGTTAGAAAACTGTGCTTAGCTGCTATGTTGGGCAGATAACACATTTCATGCCAGCGTTCCTCAAACATAAAAGTCAAAGTATATTAAAATAAATTATTTTCCAGCATTTTGTTTTTTACCACAGGGTAACTCCATTAACACATTCACCTGGAGGAAACCTCTTTAGCTGAATGTTGTGGATTCTGATTACAATCAGTTCCTCTAATGGTTGCAATCTTAGGGGTAAAATTCATATCAAAACACACACACCTGAAGATGATGAATAATCTTCTACAAGAAGAAGATGTAAAGTCTTGCTTACTCTGGACCTGCTGAAATGTCTTTTCTTGGATAAAGCTGTTTAAAATGCATTCATTTTGTGTATTTGTACAGTCCTGAAAGATATCTGTGCATTCAGCTGCACTCGATTACTTTATTTTTAAATCTGCTGCATCAGAATCCTCTTCAGTCACAGTCTTGCTGTGCATGAATGTATATGTTGAAAATAAATCAAGATGCAAAACCATTACTTTCACCTTTATTAAGGATATGTTGTCTTTCTGTCATCTTCAGTGTGTTTTGAGGTTTCAAAAAGAGGTCATACATGTGCCTGGATCACTTTTCATTCCTAAGCAGATGTTTGCAGTAGCCTACACTGAATTTTAGAAAGGAACTAAGTATCCACGTGCTTTTCTTTTTTGCTTAATTCATAATGTTATGTATGAGCCGAGGTATATTGTGTGTTATAAAAGCTATCGCCAGTAGTAGGCACCACGCCATGTTATGTGTGTGTGTAACTTCTTCAGGTATAGGATAATAAAGAGAAGAAGACGGAATGTAAACAGCTAACGTGTGTATCTGTCTGGCTCTGTTCTATCATTAAAGAATATAGGAATGCTTGCTGTATTTTAATGCACACATTACACCACGACCTGGGTGAGAAGATCAGCCTGTATGAGTATGGCACAGAGAGCAGGAGGAAGTCGCTAAAGCAATACGTAGATGCGACTGCCACCTGAAACGCAGGCAAAGCAGCACTAAACGACCTGTTCCCAAAGAGGAAACGGCGCCTATCCCGACAGACACAGCAGATATATGTCGGCAATACGCCGTTGTGCTTTCTGGGAAGCGGCGTTTTGCGCGAGCAGATGCGAGATCACTTCTGTCATGCGGCAAACGGTGAGCATGGTGGCCGCATAGCTGTGGCTACTCAGTACTGCCCTTTGCAGCTCGTTTCCATTAACAGACATACACATGTCAGTCGATTCTTACCTTCTGAAGACATTCGATCACTTTGTTCATGTATGCCTTCTGACATTCGTAGGGAGAAAAAGGGAAATTTACAGCCACTCCGCTAAGAGTCAGTGAAGGCATTCTGTCATCTGGCGTCAGTCGGCAGCAGCAAGAGTAGTTGTTCTTGTTTAGAGAGGTACTTCTTCTAGCGCTGTAGTCCCTTCTACTGTTTGACCCGTTAAAATGGCTGAACTGTGGTATAATGTACTTTTAACACTGGCTCGTTTAGACTCAGTAGAAAGGAATTCCCAACTCTTGTTGTTTCGCGCCAGCTTTGTTAACTTGCCCATGCGCACTGTGACGCTGACGACTGGTGCGTTCAAAGGGTCACGGAATCCTGAACACTCCAACAACAACCTTTAATTTTCTAAACCACTTTTCTCGCCTTCAATGGAAAAAGTGAGCAGGTCAGGGGAAAATGGGTAGGATAACTCATAAGGAGAAAAGCAGTGCACTGAGAATCGCAACGACTTTTTACAGTCTCCAAAGTATTGATGTCTGCCACGCTAAAACTACAACGTGCAGAAGATGGACTACAAAACGCGCGTCGATGCCGGTGTTGTACCTAAAAGTGCCGCAAAGGAAATGAGCGAGGCTTTGAAATAATCTGAAACTCATCTCCACAGTGACATCTACTGACCAATTTGGCTATCACTACATCTTTCTGTGAAACAATGATGCAGACATGCCCTGCACAATTTCAAGCAAAGCTACTTATTATATAAGACTGTCAGTAATTGTGATCAGCAGATGTTTTCATACAAACAAGGGGAAAAAAATAATGAGACTGTTAAAGACAGATCTGTGACTATAGTGATCGATGTGCTTCAGCAAATTTCTCCATCTGTTAATATTCCTGCTGCTCACAATAAATCAATTTATATAGTAAAACAAACAGAGAAAAGTCTGCGGTGTTCACTGTAACGACCACACTGATTTACAGCTGTTTTTGGGCTCAGACGGCTTCGTCTGTGCTCACAGCCCTGAAACTTTGAATGTGTTTGTTTGACTTTTAGGTTTTCTGGAAGTTCATGTCATCAGGTTGGTTTTACACACTGTCAAGCAAAGTGAGAAGCTGGCATAGCGTTAGCTTTGATTTTAATTAACTTAAAAATATACATTTAAATGAAAAGACTACATGTGTTTTCCTTCTTTATAAAAAAAAGTTAACATTTTCATGGGATAATTCTGACCAATCGTAACAGTCCATTTCACGCACATCTTCATCCTCTGCTGAGCAGCCTCTGAACTGCAGAAACTTTCCTGAACTTTATCTTGTGACACTGGCGTGATGTTTTACTGGGAGTCTGGAGTTTTGGTCATAGTGAACCTGCATAAGAAAAAGAACCCCACACATCTGTCATGAAAATTGTTAAGAAATAGATCGCCTGTAATTAATGAATGAGTTTTATTGGCGTCTCTTTTTATAGTATAAACATATTCTTTATGGCGGCGCATATGTAAGTAACGGATTGTAGTGAGGATGAAGTCACTTAATGCTGCAAATGACATTTTCTGTTGAAACCAGACAAAACTATATTTTCTCCTTAAAGCAGGTGTTCTCACACCTTCTTCATCTTTCTGCTCTTCCGGTGTCTCACCAATCTGCTGAACTCTTCATCTTCTCTCAACAATCCCCCCAAAACTTGGCCAGCATTTTTTTTTAAACTTAATTTCAGAATCCACTTTTAACTAACAGACTGATTTATTTATTTATTTAGGACAGTGCATGTTAATGAACATAAATGTAAAAAAAAAATTACATGAATGTAAACATACCAGATTATAGCCAAGGGCTAATTTCTATCTGTTGTCCTTAAGCATAAAAATAGACATAATAATTCATAAAAATTCATCATTCATTCATAATAAAAACTCCATCACCAAACTTACACATACACACCATTCTGTTCCCAAATAAAACATTAAAACTATACAACTCATACATGATCACACACTCAAATTGTCCATAACCAGTTTTTAACCTTTGCCTTAAACAAATTGAATGTCGAGCATTCTCTAATGGGTTGAGGACAACTGTTCCACAGATGGCCACCCTGGACAGAAAGGACGTTCTGCCCAAATGCTGTCCGTCTGTGGGGTATAAACAAGTCTCCTCGAATTGTAGCTCGAGTGGTCCTGTCTGAGCTTTCTTTATGCCTAATGAACTGCTTGCGTGATGAAATTCACTATGATAATTTACTAATCAAAAACAAACCATAATACCAACGGCTCCGTGATGTGTGAGTGACGGCTACATAGCTACTTTGTGTAAAGGTTTACCCGTGCTGTCAAATGTATTTATACAAAACATGGATTACACACTCAGTACTTACGTTTAAACAAAACGTGGGAGTGTTGGGCTGCCACAGTGGGGGAAGTTTAGGTCCAGGTTAAAGGAGCGAGAGAATCGCTCTTCTGTAACAATGTTGACTGTTTGCTATTGCGTTGATTCACTTGTCTGTACTGAATATTGTTATGTGTTATACTATGTAGTGACTTCTGTTGCCCTCTTGGCAAAGACTTTTATACAAATCGTGTAACTCACTAGTACACCAAAGTGACTACAAAGTCATCATGGAAAGAGCTTTTCTTTCAAATCCTTAGTGTTTGGGGAAAACACACAAAGGCTTGACATTGTTAGTTCACTCTGCATGTCTGTGGAGTGAACAAAGTGTATAAGATGCAGATTATGAAAGTCTAGCTGTAAGTTCTAGTCTATTTCATGAATACAGTTTTATTTCAGGTCTTTCATTAATATTAATATAATTAACACTACTTGGTCCCAACAGTAACTATGACTTGTGTAATATGTGTAGTAGTGCGATTACTCTCATCAATGTGTTTTAGGATGAGTGGTTTGTTTGTAAAAATGTTTCAGAGTAGTTATATTCCCTCATTGTCTTTCATTTTCAGAATTATATCAGGCTAGGAGCTTTATACAAGTCATGTAACGTAGAAGTACCCAGTTATTATGGTTACATACTGATATGTGGTGTCTGAAGTTACAGTGTATTTTTTAAATAGAAGAGGCTGAGGGTTGACAGGTACGGTCAAACATATTCTATGTTTTTATTGGCTCGGATTAATATGTCTTACACCTCCTACTGTAAGATTTCTGTCACCATCTTACAATACTTACAGTACATAACAATCCCATTACAAAAAACAGAGGTGACGACTGGCTGACATCTAAATCGACATCCACGACACAAGCAGGGCTTTGAGTAAAACGCCACCGTACGTCATCACCGTCCACAAAAAATAACAACAAAATTCAACACACATATTTTATTTTTATCAGTGAAATACAATAATCAGGTATTACAGTGGACAGGTTACTGTCCTCCAGCTGTGGGAAGAATGATTTTGTTTGTGTCATAGTAGTTCTCCTCTATGAGAGGGCCACCATCGGCCTCGCGCTGCTGAATCAAATGTTCGGCCTCTCTTCTGGCCCACTGCCGCATGCTGGAACACAAAAATACACCAGATATGGACGGTGAGAAAATCAGAATGAAACCTATAATTAAACAATAATTAACTCAAGTTTAGGTGTAAACATTTCATTATTCCACTTAGACCTTCATGAATTCCAGAAAGAATATTAAATTGTGATGTTTTGTCAACAGGACAACTTTCATCCGTCCATGTTAAATCAGAGTTGATGGGTACATTTTTGGATCTTTTCTTTGCATGGTGTCTTGGATCCTCCCCCACCAACCCATCCAGCTCACCACCGGGCAGTCATCAAGTAAGAGCTCACCCTCTCTCTTTACGTGAGTGTCTAGAACACACGCCGCAGATCCAGTGATACAAAAATCAATCAATCAACCTGCGACATAAATGCACAAGTCTCCTGGACAACCTAAGAACACACTCAGATTCAGACATTGTGTTTGTTATGGACAAACTCTGACAACAACAGGAACAAGAACATTTACAAAATCTCCAGCAGAACAAAGACCGATGAGATTTGTCCAGACCGTCTGGATGTTTTAGTGATGTACCATAGACGAGGGCTGTGCCTATATCATATTGTCCACAATAATATCAGTCTATGTTTTTATGCAATATAAAAATGTCATAGTGATGTCATTACTATTGTAAAGTTTTGCATTATTGTTCTCTAGTGTAAAATAGAAACAAACCTGAGCATGTCAGAGAGTAAGAGCCATGTGCCAGCCTACGACGAGCTAATACCTAAAAAGGAAGCTGCTTCAGCTGCCTCCAACAAAGCAGCACTTTGTAAAATATGCAAGAAAACCGTTCACGCTAAAGATGGAAACAAACTTCTTTTTGAGAAAATTACAAAGGCCATCCAGTACAACCCGGCTAAGGAGGACAGCAACTGCTGATGCAAACAGTGGGGGGAAATTACTGATCTGGTTACATACATGCTACTTTTAATTTATGCTGTTTGAATGGATATAATGCAAAATCACTAATGCACTATAATGCTGCTCGCACCTTGCTTCAGTAGAGCCAGTTTAAATTACTGTGTTATTAATGACAATAACTGATTGGAAAAGGGACAATTTCCTTCATGAATTTACAATTACAAACGCTGCTGTCTGCAAGCCTCATGTTATACTTTAAATCCTCTATGTGAGGCAATTCTAAAGAGTTTCGCAAATACTTTCATTCTATTTACATTTTAAAAATATTCCAACTGTAAAATTTAAGTTTCTTAATCTCAAGTCACTGTTTAAAAAAAAATAAAGTGTTATTAACTTGATATTCCGTTAGCGTCTGCTGTGCTCCTAAGTATTGCTTATTAATATATTGATAAGCGTTGGTCTTCCTTGGTCTCCTGTGTTCTGGGGGCCTCTGGATGTCTGGAGCCTGGATCTCCTCCATACCTGCTTCATGCCCTGGAGGACGGGGCTGTGGCCCCCCCCACACCCTCTAGCAGTCATTACATGAAGGAACCTTTTGAATACAAGCTAGCTCATGCTCACAGGTGTACACACGGGTGCTCACACACAAACTACGAGACAAGAACACAGATGATCTAAGCAGTTGTATTTTTAACCCAAAAAAATAAATAAAAAAAAATACACGAGAACAAAATACTGAGTGTATGCAGGAGGGTGTGAAAAATAACATTTTCACAAAAAGGATGTAGAAAGTGTTTTCACTCACGCTATTCCTCTGCTGCTTTGTATTACACAAACACGACAAAGATGATGTGAACTGTTAAAAACAGACGAGCCTCGAGTACGGACGCGCTCAAAGGGGCCAGAATGGAATCAGAAAGATTTCGAAGTCCTTTCATGTAACGTGTCAGTGGCAGCTACGCCTCTAACCACAGTCCTAAGAACACAGCTGATCAGGGAGGGGATTCAAAAACAAAAATAAAATCGGCCCTTCGTGATCGCTCAAACAATTACATTTAATGACAGGAAGTTCATTCAACTGGATGTAGTGTTTTCAGGGGGAGATAAACAGAATCAACATTGTGGGGATTTCTTTACCTGGATGATTAACTATGAATCAAGACATCATGCAAACATACGTTTATTTCATTTTGTTTGATTACTGAAAGTTTTCCTTTTTATTCGGGCTGGTACAGTTACTGCTTGGTTAGGACATCTTAGTTTCCTCAGCAGGGCAGCATGTGGGAATTAATTGCTACACTTTAGATACTGAGGGTGGCTCATGTTCAAAGCAGCCACTCATTTTGCCTGAATTGTCGATTTTCTTACATGAATTCCACCTTCATCTTCCTCACTCTCTTATAGGGACTGCATCCCTCCTGCACTTCTTCAAGGCTGATGCTAGCAACAGCCTCCTGTGAAACCCACCACAGTGGCTTGTGCATTGTTCACATTTACACACCACTTCAGAAATTTACCCACATTTGGCCAGCGGCAGGTGCCAATTTCCACCCTGGTGAGAAAATGTAAGTGGCTGGCTTAACCACAGCTCAGAAACGACGGCTCACTTTGCAGCATTCATAGTGTTCTTAATCCCAAGGTACTCTGATGAGGCCAAAATGGGGACAATTTCAAGAACTGGTGACTAGTTTGTAGAGCTGGGCCATACCGTTCACGGTAATACTGGTATAATGTCGGGCAACGATAAGAAAATGACATAGATAAATATTTTTGGTCATATCGCCCTGCTCTACTAGTTTGGAGCGTCCTTTGACCATGACGCTTTACCAAAAATAAAAAAATAAAAACATGAAAAAAAGCCAAAACAAAACACACATTTCTCAGGATAATAACTAAAAGAATGTTGTTTAAAGTGTTTGCAGATCTGAGCAGACACCAGTGGACTTTCCAAGTAGGAACTGGTACAAACTGGTAAAGAATTGCACACCACTATACTGAAATATAATCACACTTAATATATCAGTAACATACAAGTGCATACAAATGAACTTGGATATAAGTCTTGGTGGTGCCGACAATTATTGATCATACCTTTACATTGAAAGGACACCTCGCTGCCTTTAGTCTTTTTCTTGGCCATTACTGGGTCAATGGTTCGATGGGCCACAATCAAATCAGGTGTTAAGCTGATTTTATTTTACTCTAGTAAAACTGAATTATATCCCAAGTTCAACCTATGCTGAGAGGTCAGGGTCAGCAGGGGTTTTGAAATTGTGTGCTGGGAGCCCGCCGTTGTTGGTGGTATGGTGACAGAGAATCCGTGTACACACATAACGCACACACGCGTGGTTTTAGAACACCCACATTTATCCAGTTATTTATTGCAATTCAAGTCCAATAAATAGCTTGAAATGGTACAAAGCGGTGAAATGCCAGAGGTTAAAAAAAAGGGGAAAAAATGGTAAGGTTACCTAAAACTGAAATATCATGTACATTTCAGAATTATACAAAAACGGATTAAAAATTTAATCTGTTCTGCAACAATGGAGCTTGATCAAGCCTTGAAAGCTGGTGCTACTAATTTCTACAGCTGTTCCGACTTTTCTGGATTACTTCTCCCTCTGTCTGCATTAAAGAAGTGTTGCAACACACTGTGGTACCATATGCTTGTCAGCATCAGTTGAACAGTGTTGTACTGCAGAAAGCAGTGTGATGGTACACAAATGGTGAGAAAAAGGTGATTAACAATGGAAGAGAGACAGACCATCATAACACTTATAAATGTCGGTCTGCCCTACAGAGAAACTGCAAAGAAAGTCAAGGTGTCAGTGAGTTTAGTTTCCTTCAACATCCAAAGGCTCAGAAACAAACTGACAGGAAGAGGTCTGCAGACCCAAAGACACGACTCAATCAGAGGCCAAGTTAACAGCTGTGTGATAGGCGGCTCACAGGACAACAGCTTCAAGCAGCTTAATAGTGGTCGTAGTAAGAAAGTCTCAGTTTCAGCTGTGAAGAGAAGACTTTGAGCTGCAGGTTTGACAGGACGAGTTGCAGCAAGAAAGCCAGACGTCAGAATAAGACAAAGAGGCTTGGCTGGGACATGAAACACCACCATTGGACTACTGAAGACTGGAAGAAGGTATTATGGACTGATGGATCAACATTTGAAATCTTGAGATCATCACACAGGATCTTTGCTGTGGAGTAGGTAATGGATGGTTCCACAGTGTGTGGCATCGTCTGTCAAACATGGAGGAGGAAGTGTGATGGTCTGGGGCTGTTTGCTGGATCCAGGGTCGGTGACTTGTACAGCATGAGAGGCTCCCTGAACCAAAACAGCTACAACAGCATTCTGCAGTGCAATACATCCTACAGCAAGATAATGACCCAAAACATAAGTCCAAGCTGTGCCAGAACTATGTTGGGGAAAAAGGAAGATGGGAATATGGGAAGAACTTTCTGGAGAATATTTGATTTCCATTGTAGAAAGAATGCAGCCGATGTGTTCAGCTGTTATATCAGGTGCTACTTTGATGAGTAAAGGTTTAGAATTTTGGTCTATAAACTGATTCCATGACTTGTTTTTTTTTAAAACTCCAATTACTTATTTGTAGCATGCTTTCATTTCAGAGTGCAATGAGACATTAAACTGCATAATTTTAAATTTTAAAAAAAAGTTGTGGTGTTCTGAAACTTTTGACGAGTAGTGTATATAATCCTATTTTAACTTAGGACAAGACATCTGACATTTTCACTCTATCCTTTGACAAAGAACCATAGCTAAGTCCTAAGCCTAGCCACCGTATAAATGAGCTGATATGAAAAGATAAATTGAGAACTCACCCATGGTCGGGTAAATAGTGGATAAAAGTTCCTCCAATGACGAGAGCAACTGAAATGCCGAAGAAGAAGCCCACTTTCATATTCCACTCATCCTCCACTGGATCGCTGGAGAAGCCATGGTATTCCGGATTCTGAAAAAACCCACAAAAGGGGACCAGTTTAAGTATCCAACATGTTTTCAGTCAGTACTGGAAGGATGATACTGGCCTGTCTACACTTTCTGATATGATTTGTATGTTAACAGAACAACTAAAGTTCTTTGTTTTATTCAGGAGAATCTGACTTAAAACCGCCTTATCTGACTACATCTAGACAAGCCAGAGGAAAGTTGAACCTGAGGAATAAACTGAAGAATTTGCAAACGCTTAAATGTCCCACAGACATTTTCCTGCATTATCAGGTGACCTCTTCTGACAGGGAATAGCTTAAAGCAGCTTTTAAAATCAGTCTAATATTATGGACAGTTTTTGATATTTACACATTTGTGAAATATTAATTGTTTTTCTGATAGGCATATTCGTGTTTTATTTTAAATTAATAGCGGCCTTGTAAGATTCAATGGTTCTCACACAAAATACACTGCTTAGAAAAACCAAACAAACAGAAACAAAACGAACACCTGATCGGATCTCACGAGCAGACAAATCATTTCAGAGAACCGACTGAGCCAGAGCAGGCTAGCTGTATGTCTGCGGTAAAAATAGTATTTTTTTAATCAATGAATTTTTATTTTTAATCATTGCGATACTATTGTATATTCAGAACTGGTGCGCAATTTAAACTCTCAGCGCACTTGTTGCAAAATAAACCGATCTGACCAATCAGATCGGTTTATTTGGATCTGAAGAACCGCAAAAATCGAGCCTGGTTGGGAAAAAATAAATGCCGTAAATTCGTCCAGTGAAAATACGCGGTCGGCGTGAACGGCTGCATTAATGGGGGTGTGCGAGAATAATTTAAACGCACAGAATTGAACGCGTCCGGTGTGTAAAGCCCTTTACTGTGTAAAAATAACATTAGCATGCTGTCCTCAAATCTGATCGAGCAGAACTCACCTTGACATACGGGCTGACCTCACCGTGACCAGAATGCTGGACCTCGGGGTGGAGCTCCGTCACCGCGGTCGAGCCTGTAGCACTGTTCGCTTTAGACTGGGAGACCAACCGGGCTGGTGGATTATAAAGTAACCGGGGCAAAGTCAGCCCAAACCGCGAAATTCGGGTCAACATTTTGCCACTTGTGAAGGATACTGTTAGCCCGGAACCGGAAACTACAGTTTCAACTCTTCTTCTTTTTTTGTTTACGGTTACCAAAAACCGAAACGCTGCATTACCGCCACCAACTGTGATGGAGTGTGGACCGAAATGACACTCGGAAAAAAATGTCAGGCAGCATTTACGTGTGTATACACAGTTCCACACATCACTAACCACCTAGCATATCTGCAAGATCATTAATCTGCTTTAACTATTTTGTTTGCTAAGATTAAAAGAGCGCTAACACAAACTGGCTGTTCCATATCATACCCCTACTGTTACCTTCACGCTCCACAGCTCTCCCTGTTCTCCTCTCAGCTCTTGGTTCTTCTCCAGCTTCTCGTGTTCCTTCTTCCTGACGCTGCTGACATTCAGTACAGCTACATCTGTCACTACAGCCTCGTCCTCTGCTTGTTTTGTTTTTTTAAAATGTTCTTTGATAAATCCCAAGATTAAAACATTTCTTCAGCTTTGATTTTGTCATGTTTTCAACAGTTTTGCATTCATGTTGCTGGACGCAGATCATCTATTTTTCAGTAAAATGCTGACTGTGTGACACTGAAAGGGGAAGAGAGTTGAAATGTAAAAATAATCATAAATGATGAAAAATAAAGGATGCAAATAACAGACAGTAGCTGCAATGACCATTTTTTTATTGTTTTAAAATTCCATTTTACTTGAGCAGTTTGTAAGTTATAACTTTAATCTTCTCAGCAGTTTGCTGATGGACCGACAAAAACAATTACGAGTAGCCTAAAGACCAGATGTATTACATTTTTATCAGTCTGTGAGTGCCGACAGGCTACCTTTGAACTATCCGTGTTCAAGCATAAAATAAGTATTAAAGGTTTATGATCCTGCAAATCTGTCATTGTCATAGGGTCCATGTACATGTTTTCAACCACTGCAAATGTGCTCCTGTGTAGTCCTCCACTTGATTTCACTTCAACTCCTTTGTAAGTTACAACTTTGCTCATGTCTACAATTGGCAACAACACCAGGAAGTGAAGCCCACAGACGCGGTGGGCTGATTATTTTGCACACTCCCTCCACTGACAACACTCTCTGCAGGTAGACAGCCAATCGTGATAGCCGACAAGCTACCCCTGCTCAAACATAACATGAGCAATATAAATGATGCTGTTGCCAAAATAATTCACACACCCATCCAAATCATTGAATTCAGGTTTTCCAATCACTTCATTGACCACAGGTGTATAAAAGCAAGGACCTAAGTCTGCAGACTGCTCCTTGTGACAGAGCAGGTTGCTCTCTGGAGCGCACAGTGGTACCCTGTTACACGGGATGCCACCTGTGTAACAATTCCAGATGTTAAATTTCCTCATTAAAAATTCCTTAGTCAACTGATACAGGTAATATAACAGTGAAGCAACTGGGAATGACAGCAACACGGAGCTTTTCTGTAGAGTAAATGGATACACACCTGCAAACTTCGCCTGGCCTTCAGATTAGCTCAGCACATACAGAGCTTTATGGAATGGATTTCCATGGCTGAGCAGCTGCATCCAAACCTTAATGCAAACTGTCAGATGCACCTTTGTTCCAGTCAAAGGAACTCTTAATGCGTCAGTATACCAAGGCATTTTGGACAATTTCATGCTCTCACCTTTGTAGGAACAGTTTGGAGATGGCCCCTCCTGTGCCAACATGACTGTGCATCAATGTACAAATCAAAGTCAAAGACACATATGAGGGAGTTTGTTCTGGCTAGTCAAGCTCTTCCACGCCAGAGTCCTGGCCTCAACTCGACAGAACACCTTTGGGATGAATAGGCCAGGCTTTCGGAAGAATGGTCAGAATTGACATAATTACACTCTTAAACGTTGTAGAAAGCCTTCCGAGAAGAGCTGAAGCTGTTACAGCTGCAACGGATGTGCTGACATCGAATTCAACCCTACTGTGTCTACAACTCAACTTTGTCATCAGATGGTGGGTGTGAAGCAGAATTTATAATCAGGCGTGAACCTCATGTGTGCATCAGTTAGACTAACTTCTTAAAATGCTTAATTGCTTTAAATGAATTAACAAAGAAGTACTAGATCCACCCAAGTAAAATTAAAATTGAGGCAGTTTTGAGAACAGGATTGTATTTCAAATTCTACACTTGGGACTTTTGTAGCCTTCATGAATCAGTTCAAAACAATCATCCTCCATGCAATCAGCTGCACTGAATATTTATTTGTGTCCAATATACAATCAGTAACATTGTGTTTTAACTTTTGTTTACATAGATAACTTGAGATAAATCTTTTTAAATAAATGTACATATTGCTAGCTCACAGTCCAGTGAGTACAGTTACTTCAGATTGGTTTATTTTGATATTAAATACTGACATACAAAAGGAGGCAAAACAGAACCCCAGAATCATAACCATACGAGTTTCTCCAACGATATCAGTCACTTCAAATTCTGTTTAAATAGAAACAGTCCTCAGAAGGTATTTCTCAAATAAGCGTTACTTTTGCATGAGTACTGTTTGCAGAATACCTATCCCTTAAAAAGTAAGAATAGGTAAGGTAAACCATGCTAAGAAGAAGAATGTTTTAAGATCTACTCCCAAAATTTGTAGTTGTGCCTTCATATCCCTAACAGATGGCACACAACTGAGCTGAGGTCTGGAACGTCGAGCATGTGGTCTAAGGATGGATTCATGTGACCGGGGCCAAAACCCATCCAGAGTAAGCATTTCTCCAGCTGCCCAGCTTATTGACAGTGTCATGGCCTAAAACATAAATATGTATTTTGCTTCCCTTCACCTATGTTGAGCTGGTAAAAAATAAGACCAGAACATCATCACCACCTTTTATAACCACAGCATGAGCATAACTGCTTTGACACAAACAATAACAGAAAATGATGAATGTAAGCTTTGTTAGAGTGGAGTTTATATCAGAGCTAGCACAATGCAAGCTTTGATTTCACAGGCACATATCTAATGTGATCAATAAATCTGTGAATCAACTCAAAAAAAACAAAACAACAAAATAGGGCCAATCGTCCTGGGCGTGTCCTGACAGCTTTCAGCTGCTTTTTGATTGATTGCTGTTAGTCGGGTTCACTCTGTGAGATCACCACAGATCTTAGTTTCCCTCCAAAAAGGACAAAAGAAGATGCGAGCTGTACATTCATAAAACACTGTCTTTGGAAAAGAGCAATGAGCAAAGTGCTAAAATTAAACATTACTCAATAAACACATTTACAGTGTGCAGTACTTACTTTACTACTCATGTAGTTTTAATTTTGTGACCCCAGCACAAGGTCTCTTAATAAAAAGGCATTTGTACAAAGTAGACTGAAACCACACTGATGTTCACAGTTTTTGTCCTGGGCTAACATGTTTTAAAGAGACGTCACAACTGTTTGTTTTAACAGCAGCTTAGCAGAGGTTGGATCAGAGACAGCGGCCCCATCTCAGTTTCAACATCAGAACCTATGCCTTCATACTGTCTGCTCCAGTATAGGGTAGGTTGTGGTTATGGTGAGCTAGTCTTACAACTTCGAGATGAATTAGAAAGAACTAGAAATTGACTGGAAAACGTCTAAAGAGCAGAGACTGGACCATACGCAGCAGCTATATGTTTGTAATAAGTAAACCAGTTCATCTGGACCATAGCTACTCTATGAGGAACTACTGGCCAATAAGTATGCAGCTATGGTCGTGTTATGTGTCAAATATTGCCAAGTATGTTTTCAATTCAATATTATTTGTATGGCACCAGTTCACAACTAGTTGCCTCAAGTGAGTGTTTTAGAGGACAACCTACTTTCAACAGGAAGCAATTTCAGGCAGAAATGAGTCCTGGATGGTGCACCATGTGCTCCCGAGCACAGTGAATGTCACTGCAAATGCCTTTCTGCATGTTTGCTTTGAAGATACAAAGAAATGAAACAACATGCCAACTAAATAGTCAGCGAGTGGCTCCTTGTTCACACACACAGTTATTTAAAATATCCAAACTAAAAGAATTTAGATTATCGGATTAAATTATTGGGGTCACAGGGTCACATCCCTATCAAACATGTTATTTTATGAGTAACAAGTCACACTTGAGGTTATTTAAAAAAAAACAAAAAAAACAATAAACAAGCAAACAAACAAAAAACAAAACAAAACATACAAATTCTGCAATTATTCAGTGGTTCGTGCACTCGGGATGAGTGAAAGCAAAGACTTGAGTTCAAGAAACCACCATCCCATTATGTTTTTAAGTAATTGAACTCCCGTGTTTTAATTAACATACTTCCATGGCTTCCTGGAGAGGAAATCAGATTGTAAACAAACATGATAAAAGTGGCAACACGGGTTAAATGCACCAAGTGTATGATTCAGACAGGCTCAGGGTCAAATATCAGATTCCCGAATTACTGAGCTTCAAGAATCAGCAACCCCAATGGAAAAAAGGCTTCTTAGGTTCTTTATCCCGACTTCCAGAGAACAAGCAAGAAAAATATTACACTGACCTTAAGGAATATATGTATTTAATTAGAGACAGAATTGAAAGAGCTGAATCCACTAAGCAGTCCGGAAAAGGAGGCCAGTGATGTACAACAGAATCAGGAACTGGTGGAAAAGGAATTTTGAGCTATCAGAGAAGGAATGGTGTTTGCCAAATTATAGGTTGAGTTTGGAGATGACAACTGTGGAGATGCTAAAGGGCTGTAAATGGGCTTAGCAGAGATGGCTGAAGAAGGGGAGTGCTGAGTAGCAGTAGCTGTTGTTGGAGAGTCTGAGCTAACCTCATCCCCTTCTTCTGAGTCCCACACCTCACTTTGCAAGTACTCTGCAAACAGGGCCTTGGCTCTTTGCAGCACTCTGCTCAGGTTGTGGCGTCGCACAAGGCGATCAAAGTGCATGGCTAGCTCATTGTAATCCAAACTGTTCTTGATGATATGGTCTCTGTGCTCCAACAGGATGGACAAGCACAGGAACAGCATGAAGGGGTTGCCTTTACCAAACTCTTGAGGAGGTGGCAAGGAACACGGCTTGATGCCAGTGGTCTCGGCTTTTAGAGAACTGGGCGTATTAGCAGCGCTGCTGGGGGATTTGTTGCCAGGTGAGAGGAGACTGTTTGAGTACAACCTGGAACCAGACAAAGATGTTCCTCTTCCAAAGGACAAAATGGGTGAAGACAGCAGGGATCTGTTTTGAGCAGTAGAAAGAGAGCTGACGGATGTCCGTGCAGTGGGGGTTGTGGGTGAACTGATGCGTGTACTGCTGGGCAACTGAGTAGAAGAAGCTGACACGTTTAGGCCAGCTCTTGGTAAGGCCTCACTTTCGTTGCTCACGTATGGTGATGTGGACTTTGGAGGAGAGTCTGGAGAAACACCAGGCCAACTCGATGGTGACACTGAAGACATGGGAGAGACAGAGGAGCCAGTTTTCCAGACGGGTTGGCTGCTTGGGAAAAGAGGTGGAGAAACATCATTATCAAAAGTTTTAAACAGTGGTGTTTGCTCTCCCGTGTCCTCCTCAGTGTCAGTTGTGGATTGGCGCCTCGGGATGCTCGTTATCGACTCTGAAACCACCGCACCCTGTTGACATGGAGGATGCTGTTCAACCTCCTCCATATCAAAGCTGTCTTCATTTCGGGCAGTATAATATTTAAACTCCCCAAAACTAGTCTGCCTCTCGAAGGGAGCACCTTTCAAATCTGTCTTTGCCATGGTTACCTGAGGGATATCACACTCGTCACCCACATTTGCTTTGTCCGAGCTCACGCTTTGCCTGTCCATTTCATCAGCGATGGCATTTATGTTCATGTCTGCTTCTTCTCTTGAAGGTCGCAGCATGTGCCGTCGACGCTGCTTCTCTTTTTGTTCCTTATCTTGAAAGTAGTCCTCAACCGTCTTGTCTTCAAAGTTGCTGAACATTGTTTCGTCGGCTTCCAGAGGTGGCCCCAGAAGCTCCACTTCAGTTTCAGGAGGATCTGGGGGCAGAGAGCTCCAAGTAACTTCCAGCATCCTTAGAGCATCATCAAACGCAAACTCTCGTTTAAGCTCCAGAAGAAGCCAACGGTAGCAGAAGAAGAGGTCGTCAGCTCCTCGGGACACTAGGTAAGAGTAGAATTCAGGATCGGAGTACTGCAGGAGGAGCTTCAGATGCTGGAACTTAACAGACATGAGCTGCCCGTCTGGCCGGAAGTTTCCTTCTAAGCGTTTCATGATGCCACAAAAGCAAATGAAGGCGTGTGCCTCGTTGTCCATTACTGCAAGTATTGGGGAGGCAATGTCACTCATGCCTTGACAGTAAGAGATCTGGAAAAACAACACAATGGCAAAACGTTACAAAAGATGACAGTTTGCACAAAGAACACATTTCTATATCACGTTATATGTCATGTCACAATCATCAAATGTATCATTTAAGACCGTGGTCTTTCTTCCTTAAAACAGCCGACATTAAAATACTTTTAAAGGAATCAAAACTGGATTGCTTTGAGCAAACCATTAGAAAAGCTAAAGTCATGCAAATCAGTCTTTTCTTAAAGAAAAATATCAGCCTTGTTATTTTGTCTTGGTTTGTTCCTTTTCTTCTCATACGTGCCGTCACTATCAGACAGTAATCTCTGTAACGGGCAGAAAATTGTGATTTTCTTTTGATGAAAAACTTCTCTGAGGCATTGTAGGAGATGGAGTTATTTAGTTAATGAACTTTAACAGTGACAAAATAGGTTTTAGATGAAAAACAGCAAAGGTAAGACAAAATTCATGCAACTATTTTTCAAACTCGAAGCGTGGTCTGGTTTCCTTTTGCTGCTGGTTCAGTGAATTTTGGTCGGAGCGTGATGAAACTTGCAGTTTTGGAATCTGCGAGATGCCGGCTTTCAATGTTACATACTTGTCTGTGACTCTGCAAACAGGGAATCCATGCTTTGTGTTTATGTCATTTGTGTTTACATGCTCTTCTATTTGTTTGTTGAGCTTTTAGCCAAGATTCTGGCGTTTCTGTGGATACAGAGGGTTAAGAGATTCAGACTGCAGGAGAAGATTTGCGTTCCAGATAATGCGCCAATACAAACCTGTGGATGAGTGATGGCAAATGTGGTGAGTAGATCTGTGAGGGCAGTCAAATGGGGACTATCCTCAGAGCCTGCATAGTATGGATGAGCTCGATCCGTCCTCAGGACGTCTTTGAGAACATTTCCACGGATAAATTCAAGGTCCTCATGACTAACCCGGGTTGTCCACTCTCTCTTTAGCTGGTCATACTCTCTCGTCTTCCTCTTCATGTAGTCCATTCTCTCCTGTCCACTAAGTCCATCTGGATAGACATTCAGGAGGTAACGCCAAACCACCTAACCCAACAGAGGACAACAGAGGAGTTAATCCTTGAGAAATGTAAGTCATAAAATACAAATTCTATAATTGCACATATATGTTCTTAATTGTCCTTCAAGTTCCATCTTTTCATCCAAAAATCGCAAATGACTGAACGTATCAGTTCGAATCTGGTTGCAAGCTGGCTGACTGTTAAAACTCTCAGCCAAGAGGGAGAGCTAGGATAGCCAGAATTAGCACAAGAATTTGTTCAGTTTAAATAATAACCAGATTATTTTGTTTAGAGCGTACAAGGTGCTCATATACAATATTAATCAAACACAGGTGCTAAACCTTCCGCAGCGACGGCTCCACACCCCCATGGTAGATTCGCAGTCTGAGTTCCTCAGGCCGGGTCAACTGTCCCTGTCCGTTAAGGTAACTGTGAAACTCAGCGTCACTTAGAGGGGGCTTGAAAGGCTTGATCTCCTCCCCATAAGACCAGCTGAAGGCCTGCTGGACCTTCGACAGGGTCCGGCCCACCTAAACAGAATAGAAACAGGTGCATAAGCAAAAACGTGGCTCAGAGAGTGTGGTTAGGTTAAACAGAGTGAGGAAAGGTAAAGGAACCTGGGACAGTAGAGACTGGGTGAAGGGAAGAGCTGCAGATGCCAAGGATCTAGTCTTCTCTGTGAGAAGCTGCTCAGAGCCAATCACGTCTTTGGGGCTTATGATGTCCCAGTCTTCCAAAACAGGGCCTGCAGTGAAATAATGACAAGCAGATTTAACAGCAACAGTGTTTTAGTCCTTCCTGTGTCACGTTTTGATGCCTGGTTTCAATCTGAAAGAGGTATTCTTTGTTGTAATCATTTCTCTTCTGCAAACAGACTTTTAAAAGTTTGGATGTGATGGGCAACAAAATGTTCTACCACAGACTGTAGTTTTGATCTTTAAAATTTATTTTATTTACATCATAAATTAGAAATCTATAACATTTTTGCTTTCAGTCTTGATTTAAGTTGCTGGTGTTCTTACTGTCCTCAGAAGGTTTTATATCCATCTTGAGCTGCAGAAATGGTCTGGCTGCACTGACAAACGCAGCATCCAAATCCCAGTCAGAGACCAGAGACATATACATTTCAGCCCCGCTGCGATCGCGAGACAGGTAACCAACGCTGAAATTTCTCTTCCTAATTCAAGAAAGATATTTAAACAATGTTAGATAAATTCTTTGGGCACTTCTCTGTTTATAAGTCTGTTTGGCCATTCTGACTATTCTTACCCATTCAAATCAAAGGCTCTGATAAGTATGTGCTGCAAAACCTCCAGCGATGTTATCTGGGGATCAACAGCAAAGGAGCGAAACTCCACAGGAAGTGCCCCATCACATTTCTGGGAAAAAATAAATAAATAAATAAAAATCATATTACAATCTCATCACTGACAAACAAGTAAACATACAAACATTCTTGGTGTGGTTAAACCATGGTAGGAGAATAAGAGATACAAACCAAGTCAATGGGATACTATACCGCCCTATAATAAAATAAAAAACAATGCATTGTTACTAGACCATAACTGTAAAATAATTATAAAACAAAATACATAATAATTCGTCTATTTGAATGTAAAGCATACAAAACACATAAAATTAATGGAATAATGCTCCACGTCATCCCCTGTTGTTGGGGGGTGGGGGGTTGCCTAGGGGGTGCTACAGTCTCTCAGGGCAAATTTGTCCTGGATGAGGGGCCAGACAAAGCACGATTAAGTCGACCCCTATGAAAAGAATAGAAATCAAGGGACTGTTTATTCTATCTGCAAAAGGGTTACTGGGGCCTCACCCTGAAACCAGGCCTGGAGAGGGAACTCAAAGGTGAGCGTCTGGGGGGGTCGGGCCTTATGCCATCTGTGCTGGCAGGCACAGCCCAAAGAAGCGTCATGGGACCACACTCATGGAATGTAACCTCTGTGGTGAATAAGAAGCCTGAGGTTAACAGATACATAAAGCTACAGTAGCCTCACTTCAATGCACAGCTTGGGGCTGGACTCTGTTCCGGTCTCAGTGACAGGTGGTAGGCAGGTATGGGTATTCTTGTATTCTCTCACCTTGCTGCCAGTATGCTGGGGTTTTTGCTGGTGGATGAGATGATTGGTTCCCTGCACCTTTGGGTCGGGGAATGGGTCCTGACTGTCATCTGTGCTTATGCACCAATGGACAGTTCAGACTAGCCAGCCTTCATGGGGTCACTGAGTGGGATGCTTTAGGGTGATCCATCTAGTGTTTCTGTCATCCTACTGGAAAACTTCAACGCTCACATGGGAAAAACAGTGTTTGCAGATGATGTGGCCTTGGTGGTTGCCTCCAGCTTGCACTAAAGCAGTTCGGAGCCAAGTGTGAAGCAGCGGGAATGAGAACAAGCACCTCCAAATCTGAGGTTGTGGTCCTCAGCTGGAAAAGGAGCACGACCAGTTGAGGTGGTTTGGGTATCTGATTAGGATGCCTCCTCGGCGCCTTCTGGGTGAGGTGTTCTGGGCACGGCCCACCAGACGGAGGCACCGAGGCAAACCCAAGACATGCTGGAGAGATTACATCAATCTCCTTACCATGTGTGGAGGGTTTCAACCCAAATCCAGCACCTTGAGATTGTACACAAAGCGAAAGGAAGGAGGCAGAGGGCAAGTGAGTGTCTGAACCACCGTCCAGGATGAGACAACAAACATCCATGAGTACATCAGGAAGTTGGCCACAACTGACTGTGTGCTTAGTGAACAGCTCAGGCAGCAGAAACCTAAGAAAGAAGTGGAGCAAGAAGAACCATCATGAAGGAAAGGCCCCTGTATGTACCACCGGCAGATAGACGAAGTGGCTGGAAATCCTACCAGTGGCTGGACAAAGCTGGAGTGACAGCACATAGACACTAATCATGGCAGCACAGGAACAAGCACTGAGCACATAGAGGCTGGGGTCTATCACACCAGACAAGACCCCAGGTGCAGGCTGTGTAAAGATGCCCCTGACACAATCCAGCACATAACAGCAGGGTGCAAGATGCTAGCAAGCAGGGCATACATGGAACGCCATAATCAAGTGGCCGGCATAGTGTACAGGAACATCTGTATGTCCTGGACGTCACGAGGTCAAAATTGGATACGCCCCCTAGGGTGGTTGAGCATGACCGAGTTAAGATTCTGTGCGACTTCCAGATACAGGCGGATAAACTGGTGATGGCTGACCAACCGGATACAGTAGTGGTGTCCAGCAGAGCGCAGTACTAGGAACAGCAAAGATACCGTGCAGGACCCTTGAGCTCCCAAGACTCTGGTAGAGGACTCGAGCTTGAAGGATGAAGGGATTTTTTTCTGGTTTTTATATCAATCAACATTATTATTTGGTTCAATATTTGAATACATTTTGTTCAAATGTGCATTCGAATATTAAACCTTTTTGATATCTGATAATGTGATAGAAATAATGTGTAGAAACTAGCTTTTTAGTTTCTACACATTCTACCCTACTTTTATTTACGCAACTATAACAGTATTATGAATTTCTTTTGTGTCACAAAAAGGCCATTAATTTAACAGTATAATTAAATGATGCAGGGTATACAGTGTACATTTCTTTCCTCTGCATGAAGTTTGTCATATTATGACCTTTAAACTTTGAAGTATTGTGCAACATACAGCAAAAAGGTTCGTAACATTATAAGCTAGTATGTCTTTGATGCAGATAACAATTGACACAACAAAAATGCTGGTGCACCTGTCCTGCCACGGCATCCCCAGCAGACTTCCCACTGGGCTCTCCAAATCACGGACAAAGAGTTTCCCTCATTCTTGATTTTTAGTTCACAAACACTTCTTCTAATGACCAGCTACTCCTGAAATTTTGGAGTTTTAGCTCTTTATGCAGTGAAGGTACAGGAGGATAAAAATAATTATCGGGCAAAATGTCGTCGGTTTGTTAAAATGATCTCATAAAGTGAGAACAATAAATGTATCATTTTCTGTTTGTAACGACAGTCATCTTTCAGTTTTGCACTAAAGTAAACATCGCTGCTTCCACGTCTCGCTGTTTGTAATGGAGGCGGAGTCAACCGGACGTGCTGCCGACGCAGGGGAAACAACACCGCCGGGGATACCTACAGGCACAATACGCACACATTTTCTGGGCAGGCAAGTGACGTCAGCTCACCTCTGTGACAGCCCGATGTTTGCATTGGATATTGTCAACGTGTTATGACCGATAACCATGTCAGGTGTACATTACAGGTTTACTCAGTGTAAACTGAGAGGGACAATGACTGATCGGCATCGAGAAGAAGCAATTCTACCGAAAACCCCCAAATAAATAGAAGAGGCCCCCTCTGTTATGGCACACTGCTAAACATCCAGTTTACGGAGTGCATATTTTCGATGTTTAACATTAACGCGGGAGCGTGTCTGTCTAAACAGCCAATTTAACCTATGCGATAATATGATTGCTCGCTGTTAGCAGTCTTTGGCAGCCTATGTGGAAGTCAAAGAAACCATCATTCTCCCACCTTGACTTTGACACGAACAACACCCCTCTCCTCCTCGCCTTCCATCGTAAAGACTCCGTTTCGGAAAAGGATGGTTCGACCGAGCTTTTTCTGCTGTTTGTTTGCTTTTCTATCCTGACATGATGGAAGTGGCTCCAGCCGAGTTCCTATGCTTGACGATATTCTGCTGATTCTTTTTCTTCTTCTTTGTATTCATTGGCTGTTGACAAACAACGAATTGGTGCATTACCGCCACCAACTGGTATGGAGTTTTCTTCTTCTTCTTTGTGTTTAACGGCGGTTTGCAACCAACGTAAAGGAGCATTACCGCCTCCTACTGTTCCGGAGTATGGGTCAGACAGTGAGTTTACAATTTGTATCAAAACAAAAACAAACAAACAAAAAACAAAAAAACCCTACACTCTTTCATAAACACCTATATCCTTCAGAAACCCCACCAGTTCCCTCACCTGTGCCCTACTACCCTCCAATACACTCTTTAGATTAAATTCCCCAATTCCCCGCTCCGTCAACCTATTCTGCAGAACTGTCCTCTCCACATCATAACCCTTGCACCGCAGTATTACATGCTCTACTGTCTCCACCTCCTCCTGGCACACTCCACAAAGCCCCGTCTCATGTTCTCCTATCATCTGTAGTGTTTTATTTAATGCACAATGTCCCAGTCTAAGCCTGGTAATGACCACCTCATCTCTCCTATTACCCCTATACAACCTACTCTCTGCCACCTCCTTCTTTAGATGATACAATTGTCTGCCCTTACTCCCCGAATCCCACCGCTTCTGCCACTCCTGAACAACCTGTCTCCAAACAATACCTTTTGCTTCAGATCCACTGCTTGTAATTGCCATCTCAGTCCTATTTTTAGTCAACGCTCTTTTTTTCCAACCTATCCACCTTTTCATTTCCACTGATCCCTACATGAGCTGGCACCCAAAGAAAGTGAATATTGTCACCACAACACCTTATCCTTCTTATAGTCTCCAGAACAGCATACAGCATGCCCTGCCTTGTCTTCGAACAAAATGATTGTAGACTTGAAAGAACAGCTGCCGAGTCAGAACACACTACCACCTGCCTGATTGTTGAACACTCTAAACTGGTATGGAGTATGCACCGGAATATCATATAAATGCATTTGTCTAAGTTAATAAAATATTGCTGATAACTTTTACTTCCTGAGTTATTTCTAAGTAAACCGATGTGGGTGGTTTCATGGCCAGAGAGGAACTTAGGGAGAGTAATGAAGTACACAGCGTGTGAAAAACGGTCAGTTGCGAGAACGACAGTGTTACCTGCAGATGGAGGCAGTCAGGTAGCAAAATCCAGTGCAATATGGGACCAGTGGCACTTCCAGGTATGATGCAGCAGACCAACTGGGAGAGTGGGAGAAGTTTTGTTTTGAAGACAGGTGGCAGACAGCCACTCAGACGTCTCTGAGACTTTTGTTTGTCTAAGGATTTACATTATGGGTAAATGTTGCTACAATGTTGTCTGTATATGACAACATTGTAGCAACTTGAACTTTGGCTGGATGACAGGTGAATTTTGACACGCGTGGCCAATGTATATTCTAAGACTGGACAACTGAAGCAACATAAAAGACATAGAGAAGCCGAGGGAGCGCTGAAGATGTTTTCAAGTGGTTAGCTCTGGCCAATCCAGAACTGCTTGGACCTTAGCTGGGTTGGCTCTGATTTGACTCTTCTCAGAGCTGTAGCCAAGGATGGAAACATTGTCAGCATGAAATTGACACATGCTACCTTTACACATCTAACTTGTTTTCTAGGAGCTGCTGGAGGACTCAACAAAGATGGGACTGAATAACACTGAAGAAGATGCTCAGTGTTATTCAGAAACACTGCTTTCAGTTCAGTTTCATTTTTATTTATACAGCACCAAATCACAACAACAGTCGCCAAAAGGTGCTTTGTATTGTAAGGTAGACCCTACAGTAATACAACAGAGAACCCAACAATCATATGACTTCCTGTTAGCAACTGCTTTGGTGACAGTCATCTGGAATATTTTTTTCATTCACTGCAAACTCCCCACATGAGTTTTATTAATTTATTCTGGTCTGTGTGTACATGCAACCTCAAGCCCAGTGCTTGCTTGCTCAGCAAATGCTGTGTGGAGCAGAGAAACAGGGACTCCTTAGTCATTGTTCTTGTCTTGGTGATTTGACTCAGGGAAACCTCAGTCAGGAGTTCCCCAAATACAACTTATTAACTTCTTAAGTCCCTCTTGCACCTGGGAACAGGTTTAGTATGATGCGACACAAAGTCTATTTAAATACAGACATCAGTCGTAGCTTTAGAAACCTCAGAATCTCAGTCAAAAGCTCATGAAAACATTTTTGTATAACCCTGCAAAACAGTCGAACAACTAAAAGAGCAGGAAATCAAATTCTGCAAAATGACTGAGATGGCTTGGCCAAAGTGACTGAAGAAGATCAGGAAACAGATGCTGTCCAATGTAGCAGGTGATTTATTTGCAAACATTGTAACAAAAAATATTTACAAGAATCAATAACTCAAAAGCTGCCTTGGACAAATAAACATAACTAAACTTAAACCAACCAAAATGAATCTCACATGCACACTGACCTGGTCCTCGTCTCTTGAACAACTAAGTTCTTCTGTTTAAATACTCTGAAGCTATACAAACAAAATTGCCTCCAATGGGCTAGTCCATACAAATAGAATACAGTCATCCAGGTAAGACACATACATGAGACTAAATATTATAATCATCCTCTTACTCACTTTTCACCAGCAACAAAACACACACTTCTAAAGTGTACATTACATTTTACAATAATACATACAACACTAAAGCAAACAAAACCCTAAAATGCACTTCTATTAAATGACAACAGTTTTCTTCCCTCTCTTCACCTTGTCCCTTTCTGTGAAGTCAACAATAAACAGGAAGCCATAAATACAGGAAGTGAGTGAGAACTTCCTCTCACAGAGTAAAATGCACAAATTAACAGAAGAAACCTGCAGTGTGAGAGTGATGTGCTCTAATAGGGTGATGTGGTAATATGAGGCCATTAATGGGAAGCATGCATAATAATCTGATCATACATGCCTCCCCGAGGCAGTATAATGTAAACAGAATTGGTCCTAGCACTGAACCCTGTGGAACTCCATAATTAACGTCAGTGTGTGAAGAAGACTCTCCAACAAACTGGAGTCTATTAGATAGATATGATACAAACCATTGCAGCGCAGTACCTGTAATACCTACAGCGTGCTCTAATGGCTCTAATAGGATATTATGGTCGACAGTATCGAACGCTGTGCTTTCCCTTGCACGGTGGCTGTTATGCTCACCTGTCATTGATCCAGGACTATCAACAGGCAGTATTTAAGACCAATGTCCACATCTGTTCCTCGCCAGTTTGTTATCTAACCCGTGTTAGTAACAGGCCACCTTTGCTTCACAAGTCACGTCTATAATTAACTTACCTTGTTCTCACATTGTGTGCAGTTTGCATCTCTACCCGGATGCTGGTCACCATTTTGGAAATTCTCAGGCTGCTTCAGGTTTTCTGGATCATGCTTCACCACCTTCCTGCCTTCCACTGCTCTGGATCACTGTACAAACCAGGTTGGATTCACTTCACACTCCCATCTCTCTGGACACTCACCCAGCCAATATTACTTCTCCCAGGAGCTTCTTCCGCTCCTCCTGCCAAGTAAGCCACAAGATTCTCCCTAGTCTTCTCCTCCCAGCACATTAAGCAATCTCTCCTTGTGCCATTGTTTACTTTTACGTTTTGCACTAAAGCTTGTGTGAGAACTGTATCCTTGATGTCTGTGATTGAATCTGTGTGTGGGTCCCGTTGTGACTCCACCCGCTCAACTGGTCCATCCTGGGCCCTGCACCAAGACCTGCGCAAGGGAGACCAGCCACCCGCCACCCCAGGCCCCACATCCCAAGACCACAAGGCAGCACTCCTCACAGCCACCCACCACCACCGACCAAAGCAGACATACGTATGCCACAAAACAGCAGCTGCAACCTTTAGGACCCCAGAAAACTGCCAGACTTCCTTAGACCTAGAGTTCACCCCCAGCCACCTGCAAGCCACACAGGGAAATGTGACTATAGCCGACCACCCCCAACTGAGTAAAGGAACTGATCAGTGCAGACCAATAAGAAATAAATTCATCCAGTAGTTTGTTTTTTTGTTTGTTTGTTTTTTTGAGGAGACAGACATTTTTTCCAAACTAATGTGATCTAGAAGTAAAATTCTGCATTGAGTAATACACAAACTGTTTTTTTCATTTGCAGTTATGAGGATAATTTTCTTAGCAATGCATAGGGCAGTAAGGACTATATGTGATGTTTTTGTTTCCCTATCTAATTCACTTACGTCAGCCAAGATGCTCAGCTTCAGTGAGGTTGGGATACAGCAACTAAACCACGTGGATAGTCTTCACATAACCTCTGCCAGAACCTCTGGACTTGTAGACCTCCTCTACCTGCTTTTCCCTGTGTAACCTTGTTCTCCTTGAATTTAGAGGTTGTTGTTTCTCACAGTTTGGTCTCACCTGGACATCTGCTTCACCTCCTTGTCTGCTTGCCTGCCCTCTGGCCTGCTATTATACCCCAGACATTCTGGAAACCTCCATGGACCTCCCCTCCTCAGAGCTTTCAAAGGACGCGGACCAGCAAGTTTCTGGCAGATATCTGGATTGTTAAATAGATGTTAGTTTACATGGGATAAGTCAAGAATGAGCTATTTATTATAAATTCCCACCAGGCTGTCAGAGAGGTGTTTATGTTAAGGCTTTTAAAGCAGTTATGATGCTTAATGGTTTCTAGGCTTATGAAAGGCAGACTAGAGATTTTCACTTTCCCACACAATGCTTCTTCTAGGTGCAGCCACAGGCGAGCTTGATTTGATCCATTTCGAAAGATAAAGCAATCTATTGGTCAAGAAGGAGTAATACAATTTTGGTAGTTGTAGACCACCATTGGGTTTTTTTTTTGGCTTTAATAGAGTTTTCAAACTTATACGTGATGGTTTTTTTCTAGTGACTTAAACCAGGCAGTAAAGAGTTTATTCGAGATCAGCAAGAACCAGTTGTCTATTTGAAACAGAACCATCATTTTAAGTGGTGCGACTCTTCCCATGAGTGATATGAGTAAAGTATTCCAATGCGTGGGATCTTCTTCTTCTTCTTAGTGGGAG